CAGGTTCGGGCCCTCTCGATGGAGGTAAAATCCTACTCCTGCTTGATTAATATTGATGATATGGGTAGTACAAGAGTAGATCTACCACGAGATCAGAGAGGCTAAACCCTAGAAGCTAGCCTATGGTATGATTGTTGTTTGTCCTATGGACTAAAACCCTCCGGTTTATATATACACCGGAGAGGACTAGGGTTACACAGAGTCGGTTACAATGGGAGGAGATCTACATATCCGTATCGCCAAGCTTGCCTTCCACGCCAAGGAATGTCCCATCCGGACACGGGACGAAGTCTTCAATCTTGCATCTTCATAGTCTGGGAGTCCGGCCAAAGGTTATAGTCCGGTCATCCGGACACCCCCTAATCCGGGACTCCCTCAACCATCTTCCATCAATAACTTAAACAACCATTTACCGACAAGGGCCCTATTCTTAACCTCAAGGTCATGAATGCCCAACCCGCCTTGGTCCTTGGGACGGCAAACCACACTCCATTTAGCCAGCCGATATTTCTTTCTCTCGCTATCTCCTTGCCAAAAGAATATCGATCGGAAGTAACCCAATCTATGTAATACTCCTTTCGGCAACTGAAAGAAGGAAATCATATATAGTACCATATTACTTAGTACTAAATTTATGAGGACCAACCTTCCACCCAGAGATAGCAGTTTACCTTTCCAACTGCTAACTCTTTTTTATAGTCTCTCCTCAACGTATTTTCATTCAGCATTTGTGAGTCTCCGATAATGTATCGGTATCCCCAAATAAGTGTTCTAGTGGATGCATGATCCATGCGGTTACTCCAAAATTTCAGAGGCATCAAATATATTTCAACATGTGAAACACAAAGTACCTCCAACGACATAAAGTCTCCCATTGTTCTCCTTCGAGGCTGAACAAACAAAACACAAGCTCAAATCACTAGTGGTAAATGTTGAGGCCACCTCCATGCCTTCACAAACTTTTTAAAAGCATGAGCCCGCACTCTGGAATGTTCGGACGATCCCAAAATACCAAAAGTAACCAGCCACACAATGAGCTCAACATGGATTCATATGCTCCAGGGGCAGCTCGTCTTTCATTTCCTCAAAGGTTTGACGGCATTTGAGAACCCTGGATCTTCAAGGACGGTGGGGAAGACTGCAGGCTTAGATTTTGTGGATACCCAAAAATAAATTTTCGTATAAAGTTGGGAAGAAAAATGACCACATGTTAGAATATGGAAATTTTCTTTTGCATGGGGATAATACACTAGGAAGGGAATGGGGATGACTCACTCAACAGGCGGACGCAATACGGCGACTTGTAGGCAGCCCGGCGATAACCCATGGTGAGGCGAGTGAGCCAAAATTGTGGTGGCTGGCTTGGCTTCCCATGGAACAAAAGGCCACTTACAACTCGAGAGGTTACATGCATGTGACGTAACTATTACACGCACCGACGAGACACACCTACTACATAGTACCGCTTGCTTGCCTCTTGGGTGGTTTAGGCACTGTCCCACGCATGCATGCACATACTTCCTCCCTCCATGAATAAGTGTACCTCTACCTTTTGGTCCAAGTCAAAGTTTTAAAATTTTGACCAACTTTATATAAAAGAGTAGTAACTTATATGACATCAAATTGGTATATTATGAAACTATATTTCAAAACGAATCTAGTGATACTAATTTAGTGCCATAAATGCTAATACTTTTTCCTATAAAGTTGATCAAAGTTTTAAAACTTTGACTTAAGACAAAGGCTAGATGTACACTTATTCGCGGACGGAGGGAGTATTAAGTAGTATCTAAAATAGGAGCCAAGCACACCCTCATATGGGTGCTTCACCACTCATTAATAAGTATAATTCCAATAAGCAGCAATACCCCACCGGGGATGCGATTTGGACCGTACGTTGCACCACGCGTGTTTGCACCAGCTAACCTAGCTAGGCCGGAATGAAAAGTTAGAAGAATACAAGAGTGATAGAGATGTGTGAGTGACAGATGCGACAATCAAGTTGGTGACATCAGGTACGGCAATAAGCCCAACGAAGGATCCAGATTAAGGCCAAGTGGAATAAGCCTACGGGCTGATGTGGCATCTACCGGGTCCACGTAGTAGAAATTAGGGGGGCAACTCCAATGCGCCGACGCAAACGGACATGGATTTTGTCCATATTTTGTCCGTTTTGGTTGGTCGAGCGGACGGGCATGTTCGATTTTTGGTTTGGGTTGGGTGGAGCGCCCAACGAGGCCGACGAATTATCCGTGTGGTCTTTAAAAAAATTAAATACCCATAAAATTTAAAACAAGCAAATAAATAAAACAAAATTGTATAATAAAATGGTCGGTCAACTGTCGGTCATAGTCCACTTAAACATAAAGTTAAATTAAAAACTTAAAAAAGGCACCTCCCAGCCGCACAACAGCCCTAGGTGTCGCCCTTGTCGTCAGAGACAGTGAGGTCGAAGAAGGCGGCGGCGGCGCAACCCATGGGAAGGCGTGCTGGTATGCTGCTTGCGCTGTCTCCTACGCCATTTGCTGCGCCACACGCGCTCCTCCTCCTCGCGCTTCCGCCACTCCACCTCCTCCTCTTGTACCCAGCGCTTCTCCTCCTCGCGCTCCAGCTGCATGAGGCGCTCCCCTTCTTCCCGCTCCGATGCCAGAGCATGCTGCCTCCAGTGCTCGAGGTAGGGGTTGAGCTGCTAGCCGTGGGGGAGGTTGACGTCGTGCCATGGCAGCGGGACGCCGTGCTGCCATTGATACGGCGCACGGTCCACTGGGATGTATAACCAGTCTCGTGGTCGATGTGCCTTCCCCGCCTACGGCACCAACAAGAAAGCGTCCGACGCCAATGCGCAGAATGACATCGTCGAACTTGCACTTTCCCTTTCCCTTGCTGAAGAACACCATGGCGGATGCACGGGCTAGCTGGGGTTTTCTGTTGCCAACGAGTGAGGGTGGCCAGATGTAGACGGAAGTGGGAGAAGAAGTGAATAACGCCGGCCCCTCCTGCACGCTTGCATTTAGAAAAGACCTGGACACCGGATGCTCCGAGCCGCTGCCATGCGGGCTGATGTTAGGTGCATGCATTCACTATGGCCGTGTGGGTTAGTTGGGTGGCCGACACATGGGCCCATAGGAGAAATTGAGCGGACACGCGGTGCGTCCATCTCGTTTCTGTGTGGACGCAAATCGGGCGCAATTTGGGCCGGGAATGTATCCAGTCGGACAGCGAGTGGACCAAATATGGGTTTCTATTGGCGCGTTGGGACGGAGTATTCCTATGTTTCCACCCAAACGGATACACGCGGACGAAATGCGTTGGCACGTTGGAGTTGCCGTTAGTTACACGTTTTGCATAGAAACCGATGCCAACTGAGATTCAACATGTGGTGGTCACAATTTCTTGTCTGGTAGAGGATCCCCCCTCCACCACACTATCTCATCACTCGCGTGGAACCCTAGGGGATGGTAGGATGCATGTCGCAAGGGCAGTGTTTCGGCTGGTGTTTAGCATTCTGTAGTGGTGGTGCGCAGATGTTCTCGTGACTGGCTGCACCATGGTTGGACATGGGGTGTGCTTGCTAGGCTGAAAACCCTGTCTGGCTTTGGCTAGGTCTACGGAGGCGGTGTCTGTGGACGTCATCAGCTTCTTGAAGTCTCCATCATGGTTGCTCCTGGTCCATTGTCATGCTCCTAGTAAAATCTTGATCCTTTGGATCGAGCTGGGGCGGCGCTTCGGTGTCATTTCCTTCCTGAAGGTACCACCTTGGAACTCATGGTTCGTCGGCATTTAGCTTCGCTTCCTCGTGGTGGCTTGTTCATGGTTGAGGGCTTCCTTGACTCCATAGTGATACTTAGTGTCCATTTGTTGTCTAACTGGAGTTGTATGAGGTGATGTTGCTGACCTTTAGCACCTATGTATCTTGCCTTGGAGGCGTGTGTTGTGGTGGTTTGGTGTTTTGCGTCGGTTTGTGTGATGATCATTGCTTTATATATAAAACAAGGCGAAAGCCTTTTTCTTCCAGTGATCAACCTGTGGTGGTTATACAGATGGATTAAACTCCAAGTTTGTTACTTTGCGTCTTGTTAAGCTGGAATATTTTTTCTGGGTATTGCTAGGTCTCAGTCGATTGAGATTTAGCCAAGTCTCGGTTAAAGTAACATAACATTCAGGCGAGAAAAATAAAATTGTGCACGGATCTTAATATAAGATCTTACAGATATAGTATCGACCGAGAGTTGGCAAAATCTTAGTCGACCAAGACTTAGCAAGATTGTATTTTTTTTTCTCGCTGGGACGTCACCTTATTGATAGTGAGGTACGCGTGGTGATTTACCAAACAAAACTCTTCAACTATATATAGTGTCCCGCACTGCTGTGAGTGTGTGCGTGCATGTGGTATCAGTGGTGATGGTGTGCATATATGATATGTAGGCGTCTATGCTGTACTCACTCGATGTTTCTTGGAAAAGAGAGAGAAATGGAGGGCCAGCTAGCCAGCACGGATGGACGAAACTAATATATGATCGGTGATGCGGTACTTGGTAAAAAGAGGCAATCATCAGCAAGGACGACATATGCGACCCCTTGAAAAAAATATGGATGGATGGATGGATCCGTCCTGGTGGATGGTGCGGTTGATAGATAGATATATTAGTGATAGATGTGCATTGACATCAGCCTCCACTCCACTTGCCGGCCGGCAGCTTATCGCTATCTTCCTCCTCTATCGATCCCTGATCGAAAGGAAATCAAAAGCAAGCAAAGAGCATGTAGATCCATGACGTGTGCCCATGGATGCGACCTCACCTGCCCCCTCCCGCCTATAAACCTGCCGTCGACCACACCACCTCCCAAGTGGACTCCTTCATTCCATTCCGTTCCATTTCCATACGTTTCTTCCTCAAGTCAAGTGGCTCTCGATCCCACCACCAACATCTTCTGTCCGTAGACCGTAGCTTCCTGGTGCCTGCAGGTGGTAGCTATCTTCCGTGTTCACATCTCCATCGATGAAGACGAAGCAGGCTTCCAAGGCCAAGGCGGCGCCGTCGCCGGGGAAGGAGGAGGAAGCAGTTGCACCGGGGGGTTTCCGGAAGGGACCATGGACGGAGCAGGAGGACATGAAGCTGGCGTGGTTCGTGCGGCTCTTCGGCGAGCGCCGCTGGGATTTCTTAGCTAAGGTGTCAGGTTTGCAAGGTGGCGGGTGACCCATGCCGTGCCATGCGATGCCATGCGTGCGCCTCCACGCATGCATGCATGCAGGCATGCATGGGACCAAAATATGATGTAGCCATGGTCCTTTGTGTGCTAACGCTCTCGCTCTCCGCCGTCCGGCACCTCCCGCTCTTGTGTCTGCCTTGCCTACAGGTCTCAACCGGACGGGGAAGAGCTGCCGGCTCCGGTGGGTCAACTACCTGCACCCGGACCTCAAGCGCGGCCGGATGAGCCCCGAAGAGGAGCGCCTCGTCGTCGACCTCCACGCCCGCTGGGGCAACCGCTGGTCCCGCATCGCCAAGGCCATGCCGGGCCGCACCGACAACGAGATCAAGAACTACTGGCGCACCCACACCCGCAAGCTCCACAAGGACACGCGCGCCGCCTCTGCTGCTTCGGCCTCCACGACCACGACCACGTCCACGTCCATGTCGGCGGCGTCTCCGGCCACCACGTCCAGCTCCTCCTCCTCCTCAACGAACGACAACGATAACCACTCGCATCACGGCCACGGCGACCAAGAGACGGCGGCCAGCCAGGAACAAGCAGATCACCAGCTGCTCTACACCTCCGGCATCGGCATGGACAGCCACCTCCTTTGGAACGACGCCCTCATGGACTCCTACGCATGGGGAGCGGCCGCGCCGTCTATGATAGTGCCGCCGCCTTCATCGCCGGTGTGGGACTACTGCTGCTCGGATTCGCTCTGGGGAATAGGTGACGACGAGGTCGAGTACAAGAAGATGCTCGCCGTCGCCGGTGCCCCATGATATTTTATCATACATCATCGATCTTTCCTTAGTCAATTATAGATGCCAACTAGCTGAAGATGCTTACGTGCATGCGTCCAAGTCATATCCTAGCTGAGACGAGACTTAATATGTACCAGTGATCCATCAGTGCATGCCTGCCTTGGGATTTATGCTTTTGTACATGTAATCTAGCTCCATGTGTATGTATGATAGAGTAATAAGTACACATATGCATGTAGTTATTTGTATTAGTATAATTTTTAATATCTCCTTAATGTTTTAGCAATGTATAATAGGCTACTAGTTGTACTACACATATACTAGTCCTTGAGAATTCAGATGGACTTTGTAAAGAAATAAAGATTTGACCACCATGAGTATATCTCCTCAATCTATTTAATCTGGATGTATTTGTACAATATACACACACAATATGTTCATTCATTCAGGATGTTGATGCCGAAGTAGGCCCTTCTTTAATTCCAGATATCGAAACTAAAGGCTGGCGTAATTTGCATAAATGGAATTAGCATATTCCATCAAGTACTTCATAATTAAAGAGAATCCGCGTAAGAAATGTATTCCGAGATCGATCAATCAATCAATCTATTCTGATACCCAGAATCTAATAATTGCTTCAAGAACTCGCTAGAACCTCTACTATACCTTTCTATTTCAGCCTCCAATTCCTATACCTGGAGAGGTTCACAAGGGCACGTAACTCATGAAGATGCTGACCTGAAGATGATCATCTGATCGTTCCTGTCCCTGTCCTACTTTCTCTAGCCATCTTGCATCTAGAAGAAATATTTCCTATGCATCCTTTTCATGCCCCAATCTCAATCAATTAATTCCAAATGGATCCTGTGCATGATCTCAAACAGCAGCACTGCTATGATCGATGATCTGCAGTACTCCTCGCTGAGATAGTGACAGGGATCGCCAGTGGGTGATCAGTGGTTGCAAGTTGCAACTAAAGTTGTGAGGCATAAATTGAATAAAATTAAGGAGAGGTCCAGGTGGTTGTGATAAGGGAGCATAGAGTTAAAAATTGTGGTGACAAAAAGCTAGGTGGTGTGTGTGATAAGGAGCCAGCAGCAGCATCAACTTGTTTGCTATCTTTCTTGCAATACTTCTAGTATTATCTTGGTCATTGCTAATTTACTCCATCTGGCTAGCTAGTGCTTCATCAAAAACAAACTTTAGTTTCTTTCTTGCTCTTAGTGGTGCACCCTCTTGCTTGCTAGCTTGTACATGTGGTACTAATGCTAACCTCATCTTCCCACTTTTTTCTGCACTTAATTATATTGCTCCTCCAGGATGGATGTAGATAATATATATTCAAATGATCTAGATACCTCTTTACCTAGCTCAATGTCATTCAAGGGCACTATCATGGAACATGCATCCATGGTTGCCACGCTTAGCATGCAAAAGCCTCAAACAACGAGATTAAGCAAGATATGCTCTGATTCAGAAGGATACTACACCACACGCCTAACTAATCTATTGAAGGATGCCTCCACTCCGTGCACATATGAGAGGAAGCACGAAGGAGATCGATGTACACTTTGGACTTAATTACCAGGCCTAATTTCGGTACACATCACACCTAATTTTGATATACCCATAAGCAATCACACCTACTTTTGGTAATATCCATGACGAATGCAGAGTGTGTCGTTTTGTCTCATGGGCTCGTAGAGTATTAAAAAGTTATAAAGTCCATAGCTCTTCTTTTGGAAAATTTAGGATTCAAAGAATGCAGCAGTCTTTCACAATGAGTCTCTATTATATTGTAACCACTAGAAACATTATTTCAGAATTTACATTCTAGACTTTTCAGTTCAGGGAACCGATTCAGAAGGTCGCCTATACGTCTTGGCAGCAATACCTCTCATCGGGCTCTGGCATACCCATGTAACCCTTGCTGTTAAGTTGTGATCCAAATTCATATAAAGTATAAAGGTCAACTTCTGATGAGCGGAGCGGATCCTTTGTAAGCGACCGCACACGATAAGTTGATCGAGTTGTAATCCCTGGCATTTGTAACCTCTCCCGATATAGTGAAGTTTCACTGGTTGATGCCTGTGTTTTTTTTTCCTTAGGATTGGAGGGGTTTTACACATTAAAATCTTGTGTCCCCTGTGTTTGATTTTGCTCTTCGTCATTCATACTGCATGTCGTATTTCTAACACTAGCCAAAGTGTTAGTACTTAGAGTAACAAATTCAGGTAGGGAAACAATTTATATCTATTACCTCTGTTCCATAAAAAAATGTATTTATGCGTTTTTCTCAAGTCAAATTTGTTTAATCATGATCAAGTCTACAGAAAAGTACATTGACATCTTGAACACCAAATTAGTCTCATGAGATTCCTTATGAAATATATTTCCGTACTATGTGTATTTGGTGTACGTTCTAGATCTTAGCACATTTTTATATAGAGTTGGTCAAACTTAAGCAAGTTTTACTTTGGATAAACGTAGAAGTTCAATTATTTTGGAACGGAGGGAGTAGAAATTTGAAAAAGTGTTGAAACTTCAATTATTATGCATGCAGATGTTTTCTATATATTGTTGAAATTTTATTAAAAATATGTTAATTTGTAAGGAACAAAAAATGAAAATTTTGTTGGCCCATAGTAGCAAATCGTAAATCCATTTTATGCACATATTTTTCTTATTTACGTAACCTAAAAAGGGAAAGATGTATTAAGAAATTTTTATATACATAGCTCACATCTATATAAACATGTAAACTAATTTTCAAAATATGAGTTTTAAATATTCCTAAAGGTTCCATGGATTTTGATGGCTAACTCAACTTTATAGATATATTTGCTTTGTTTTGACGAAAAAGTGCTACTAGATTTCAATCAGAAGCTAATATTGCACATTATTCATTTACATGTCGCGCGTCGTGATGCTCTTCGATAGTGGAGCGACAAATATAACCCATGAGGAAATCATGTTGTTTTTTGTCTGAGACATGGTCTCATGACTCATGACAAGTGATCTAACATTGGTTGGAGTTAACACCGAGTTTTGTACCAAACATTGTTTCATGATTTCCTGAGGTAAAAACTGGCAATTTGACATTTACTAACCGGCTGTGATAGCGACAGGGTAAGCGCAATTTCCATTCTAAAGGTGTTCCTCTAGGCCAATGATCCAGCCTTTATTGGTTGAATCTAACAACATTTCTATGGCAACAAACCTAGCTAGTGTGTTTTGTCGGGCCTTGGGCTTTGTTTCCTGCATATCTATTGTGTGCGACTTTGCTGCCTTCTTTTTGCGTGCAACCTAGATGGCTAAGGGAATAAGTTGATCCACGCAAACATATCTAGGTTAGGCGGAGTGAAGTGCGTATAAAAACACCATTGGCTTGAGGCAAAATCTATGTGTGTGAGCTCACCACTTTCTTGAAGGCATTGCTTTAGAAGATGGAGTTTACAACTTGCTTTCGGGGTGTATAGATTTCGATATGGATTTTG